CATTTCCAGTCCAGCCCAGAACAGAACCTTCCATCTCGACAGAAATGGAGTTCCAACTGTATCTTCATCTCTCTAGCATGAGTATTTATTGTTATAGTTTTGTAAAAGGCAGTTCTGCCTAAAAACAGTTTAAATTCCATCAACCATTCTGGCCAGAACAACCTCTTTATACTGAGATAAATTGTTAAAGTCCTCACCAGTCTGAGGCGAGAAAAGAACTTACTTGGGAGATATTCCTCACCCAAATTCACAATCGTTTGTTTGCAGAAATCAGTAACTTGGGGCGCAAGTTATCCATTCCAAACTAAGTCTGCTAGAATTTTTATTACTAGCAGTGGCACGCTCGCACACCAAAGAAAGCTGACTTGTTGACCAGTCTATGGTTCTCAAGGCAGTGGGGAACTTTGCCCTTCCATCACAGGAGTAAACGCAAAACGGGCAAACAACATCTGAAGGAGTTTTTAGTTAAATATGCTATTTAAACCATTTTGTTAGTCAAAAGGGATTTCCGGATTATTGGATTGAAATTTGGTTTTCCTTTTTGTTGTTGCAACAATCGTAAACATTGCATGACAAATTCCAAATGTGAAGGGGAAATTTCGTACAGGGTCCTACTCAATATGACGATTAACCCAACACTTATTCCCCCCCCCCCCCCTTAAATTCGATATTTAAATCATTATGTTAGTGAAAATATATTTTCGGATTACTTTATTAAACTATTTTTTATCTTGCAAATATAGTTTCAATTGTAGGACAAATCAGAAAATGTGGGGAAATTGAAAATGTAATTAAAGGATCGCCAGAGTATCTTAGAAGATTAAGGATGCCTCAGACCCGATCTGACTGAAAGGATAATCCCTCATGCTTTGACAACAAGCAACCTCCCTGGCATTTGGGTGTCTGTCATCTTCAACGAATGACTGCTTCGAGAATTGGAACCAGCAATTCCCCATTTCACAACACATAGTCAAACCATAGGACCCAAAACCATCCAAAACAAATGCACGCAAGCTACAAAGGTCTATGGAACACAAACATCTACAACTTGTAATTAAATTGGATCTTAAAAGTGCACCGATTACAAAAACAGACCTTGAAACCATAAACAGGACTTAAAACCATAAACGTCTACAACATTACCATAAACAGACCTTGAATTAAAAACATTAAACATAAGGTAAACTTCCCCTATAAATAAAAATAAACAAAACCCAAGACACGCTTTAATACCCATATCATACCATGGATATTTAATTTATTAAATCCACGAGGTCTGCCTACGGAGTTCGCGCTGGAAGCAATATAGCTCCCTCTTCCATTTGCAAGGTTCACAGTAGTTCTCGGTAGCTACCGTGTAAGAGTATTCACCCCCCATGTCCCATAAGAAATACCACTCCCGATTACCCTCACAGTTAACGCAGTTAAGAAAAAAATTTCTGTCAGTAGTAAACTTTGCAAGAGTTGGAGGAGTCACCAAGCCCGAAATTGCATAACTCATCAGTCGATTCATAATTGATTCCCTGCATGCTTGCATGTCAATTTTCTTCGTTTTGCTTAGATGGTACAACAATTCCATCGCATCCTCTTCGCCCTCCGTAGGGTTCGCTAGCCCTCACAAGCCAACAATGTAGGACGATTCCATATGCCCTGCCTTAACCGCCACCCGGAAGTTGTTAACAGCCTCATCATCTTTGAATATAAAGAATTGAGTTACAGCTTCTCTGTAAATGATTTCTGGATTGTTGTGTTCCTTGCACTTTTGCAAGAACTCAACAAGTTTCTCTTGATAAAACCCGTACCATTCAAGATGCCACTGATACTTCTCTACAGACACGGTTCGCCAAACCTCAGGATCATTCAGCATTTCTTCAAATAACTTGCATGTCCCCGCCATGCTGTACAAATCTTCAAAGGAGTGCTTTGCAACCAAAAGCAGTACCTTAAACCATGCCAAGTCTGGGATGTCCATCTGGGTTGTTGGAGAAGAGGGACTGAAAAAGGTATGTGGAGGAATAATGAACGGTGTTTCTAGACAAATCAGGAAGAAATGTATATATTGGAACTAACTGTCATCACCTAAACTATGGACGAAGACAACATTAGGTTTAGATAATGTATTATTGGCTTCATTTCACCAAACCTAGTTCAGAATAATTCCTTTTTCTAGCAACCAAAAGGAGTATGGAGGCAGACAAAAGAAATGTGGCAGCAGACCTCCATGATGTACATGCAGCAAATAAGAAAAGAAAGAAGGAGCAACACATGTGCAGCAGCAAACCCATGTGAATAAAGCAGCAAAAGAAGAATAGGCAGCCACCATGTGTGCAGCAGCCAACATGTGAAGATGATGATTATGTTGATGCTTTAGTTGTTTTTCTTCCTCTATAAATAGAAGGTACTGCAAGAGGAGAAAGTGTGCAGAATTGGTGCAAGAAGTTTTGGCACCAAAATAGAGGCAAGGATCCAGGAAGAGGAAAAATGGCAATACAATTGGAAAGAACCTTGGGGAGCCATGAGGCAAGGAACCAAGGGGTTAAAGATGCAATTTTTCCTTCTCTTCTTTGTTCTTCAGTTTTATCTTGTATTGTTATTTTATTTATGTCTAATTAAACTTTGTTAATGATGAAATACCAAAATGAAATGAAGTTCTAGTTTTTATCTTTCAATTCCCAACTATTATATTCTTCAATGTTTATAATTTCGGCTTCACATGATTAATAGGTTAATTTTCTTTTCACCACTTCTATCATGTATTTGTGGTAGTTAAGAATACAAGTTAATCTATTAATGCATCCTTGGTTTTGTATTACTAATATACAAATTTCTTTAATCTTTTATAGTTAAACATGCTTTTTCACACAGGATGCTTAGAATATGTAATTATGAAGGGAAGAGGAATCTATATAAGATTAATTAAAATGCATGCTTAATTGATATATATTGAGAAAGCAGTAGATTGATTTCTAGATTGCTACTCCACGGGAATTGTTAGATAATTAATTAGAGTTTATAGAATAATGGTATGGAATATAAAACCTTAGTTTTTCCCTATTTTAGTTTATTTTCATTTTCAATTCTATGCTTGATCTCTTTTTCTTTTTCAACAAACAAATCAACTTTGAATCAACTAGGTTAGCAATTGAATTAACTTGGGTTGGATTAGTTTTCCATCTTTTTCACGCACTCCATGTGGGCATGACCTCGCACTTACACACGCTTATTCTACAATCGATTCATGCGCTTGCGAGTTTTATAAATTTAAAACATGCACCTTCGGGTGGCAAACAAAGATGATGAGGAACTTCAATCTTAGCATGACTTAGAAGAAATCACCACAAATGGCTTCTTATTCAAAACGCTTCCCAGTGGACTTATTCACTAACCCAAAAGAAATAAGTAAAAAGAGAGGAGGGGAGGAAGGGTAATGACACTTCACCTCCCCCTCCTCCCCCCTTCTATGGAGTTGTTCTTTGAGATTCATCGAAGGAGAGCGGCTAGAGTTTTTTTGTTGTCACTCAATACAAGCCCAACTTTTAAGATTAAAATAAGATTTAATTACACATACATCCTTTGATATTATGATTTTGGCATGAGGAGTGGTATTGTACTACTTAGGCCTTGGAGTGGTTTTGTGCCACTTCAACTTTAATTTGATGATTTGGGAATTAAATGAGATTTTTGAATTTGAGCCCCTTAGAGCATCTACAATCATGTTCTCTATTTTTTAGTTAAAATTTAGCTAAAAACACACAAAAAATATTTTAGGAGTTCTCTATAAAATTTGAACTCCAATCATACTCTCTAGTTTAGAGAGTCATAAATATTATAAATTTTTTTTAACCCAACATAATTGGTCCGTCACTCCTTCCTTGTTGAACAGGAGTTTTCGAAACACGAAAGCAGCCAAGTCTTTGTCCAAATAGGATTGAAGCATTCATGCCTTCTTTAAACGATTGCAAGTGGCGTGGAACTTCATTATCATCTGCCACACACCGAGAGTAGAGAGGAAGAATTCCTCTTGCTTTTGACTCCGTGGTGGGGCCACATCCTCATCATCCATTCTTTTTTTGTTCTTTTTGTTTGCCTCAAACTGGTTGCAGGACCCAAACTCCTATTAGATTGCATACTTGAACTTATTTCATTACTTTTTGTTCAAAGCCATTATGAAATACAAGCACGTGGTGGGCCTCTCATCTTTGACCTTTTTTTCTTCTTTCTTCTGCCATTGATTGCAAGATTAACTTCCTGATGAGACTCGACTCTTACATTTTCATCTTCAATTCTTTGAGGTTGAGAAGGAGGTTGCTCCTCACAAATTGGAGGAGACAGAGAAGGACCCGAAGGCATGCTAGTTGATGATTCATCATTGTTTCTCTTAAAAAAATCTTGAATGGTCTTTAATCTCTTAACATTACGATGTTGACCCGACATTATAAAGTATAACCTATTGAATAATATAAAGAAGATATAAACATATAGACCAACAAAAATTTCAAGAAAAACATTACGAACTTAAATAGTTAGTTAAAATCTCTAATTGACAATTCATACAAGCAAGCAAGAACACCAAAATAAAAAAAAACTAATTGATAAACCTTAATTGTAAATCCCTAATTGATACTTCATAAACCCTAAATAATCCCCAAAATTTCAAAAGAAAAGAAGATGAAGAATGGAAGATTACCTTAGTTTGCTTTAATTAAGTCCGAGGACATGCATAATTTTCCTTCTTGTCAAAGAGCAGGAGTTAGCTGCTAGCGGAGCCAATAGAGAGAATTTTTTTTTTTTTTTTTTTTTTTGGTAAAGGAGAGAGGGAATGTCTATGCCTAGTGGGAGTCTAATTTTTTTCACGTGGGGTGTGAGGTTTAGTTCTTTTTATTTATTTGTTGGTAAGCCTAGTTTTAATGAGATTAGTTAATAATATTTTATTTGGATTGCCTAGTCCTAATGGGAATAGTTAATAATATTTATTTGGATGAATGTTTGTTTGAAATTGAAAGTAATTATGATAAAATTGGTTGCCATTTGCAGCCACTGATTGACGGCAAAGAACCAATATTTTTCTTTTCCTTTTTTTGCCTTTTTTTGTTTGAGTGTTTTCTGACCTAAGCTAGAGTATTAATTTAACTTTTTTAAAAAAAAGTTACCTGGGCTTTAGCCCAGGCTAGCTTGCTAGTGGGTACGTCCCTCCCCATCCAGAGCTTATGGCATAGTCACATCGGTTGGATCTTTGATACCCGTCATCGTCGATGTGAACATGTAAAAAACACACATAATCCTCTCTCTCTCTCTCTCTCATGCACACACCAACTGATACGTATATATACTTATTTTATTTTCTTTTTAAACGAGAAATTTACAGCTTGGTGGACTGAAGAACGTTGAAGAATTAAAGAAGCAGTCCTTCTATAGGTTTCTTTTTCGTACTAATTTTCTACATTCATTTGCTCTTGGAGGTTTACTATATGCTATGGGTGGATTTCCCTTCTTGGTCTGGGCAGTGGCGAGAACGCTTACTCATTAATGTACCTTAGTTCTTCTCCTAAATAATCACTCTCTGTTAATCATTTCTTGACTTAAAAAATAAGATACAATACACGTATTTTAATACTAAACACAAGGGTGAAACTATGAATTTTTCAACAGATGGGCTAACATAAAATCTAATGATTATTTTTTTACTTACTGTTTCTACTAGTTGTTCTATAAATAAAAGTGCAACATTAAATTACATAAACCACGTTAGTTCGTAGTTTCATTGACTGTTTTTCAATAAAACATAAAACAAATATATACTAAACGTGACAAAAAAATTCGTATTATCAAAATTAAAATATGTTCAGCAATAGAATTAAAAGTGTATCTATTCAAGTTGTGCTATGCAATCCTTGATATAATTAATTTTTTTTTGTTTTTGAATCTAAATCAAAAAGCAAGTTTTGATTGCTAATATGTATTTTCATTGCTGCCCTACAACTCAATTCATAAAAAAATTGGTCTTTTTTGAACTTTAATAAGTTAATACGTATTGGGCTATATATTTAAAATAACTCATTTATAGGCTTTTTTATTTTTTCTTTTCCCAAAACTTCCCTAGGCTATAGCCCACCAAAACCATTAGAGTGGTTCCGCGAGTGATTAAACATACTGTACACGTAAGCACATATTTGTCACGTTTTATACATTTTACAATTTTTAAAAATAAAATAGATAAAACTCACATATTATACAAGTAATTTTTTTTTATACATATTATTGAATAGAAATAATACACGTTAAATTTTTTAAAAATAATTAATATTAAACTATTTATAATAACCCAATTTTTTGCAGTATTTAAAAAAAAATAATTTTACCGAATAATAAACGTAAGTATTTTATTCATATTTTTCATGTGGGAGCCTTAATTTACTCGTAGCACTAGTTTTGGGCCTGGTTCATATGATCGGGGTTCACCTTCTTTCCTTTCTGTTGTACATCAATTTCAGGCTGGTCGAGAAAAGATTCTTGTCCTTGATATAAAAAAAAAACATGCAAGTAATAAAGTAAATACATGAACCAATATTTTCATTCTTGAATTACTTTAAATAATTCCTTTAATTTTTACGACCCCAAATGTAAAATTGGGATATTAACTTGTTTTATGGACGTGATATATTTTTAATAATTTTGGTGGATGTCAATTATTACGCTTGGAGAAGGATGGCATAATAACCATCATGCTTTTGAATACTCAGCTAGACATGGGTTGGAATGGTGGCAAATTGACATTACTTGGTAAGTAATAATAAGATTTCTTCAAGCTATTAGATTGGCAACAGATGTCAAGGTCCCAACTGAAATTCAAAAGCAACGAAAAGCTTCAAATGGTAGAATCATGGCTACTCAAAAATAGGGTTTTGAAGATTTACTCAGCTATGTATATCGTGGATAACGTTACTAGCTTCAAATCCTATATGCGTTAGTGAT